ATATATATATATATATATATATATATATACACACACACACACATACACATATATATATTCCCCCCCCCCGGACTAACTTATGGCTTTCAGTTATCTACATTTTCCCTTTGCCATGGCTAAACCAAGAATTAATTGTATGTCAATTTGTTTCTTTTCAAAATGCCTTGATAATGGAGTTGACTTTATATTTTCACAAATAATTAATATATAAAATACTTAAACTTCAGTCTTTTGGAGATAAAGAAACATTTCACAAATAAATTTTCATCATTTTGAATCCAGTGGTCCAGTGCCTTAATGTAATGTAATGTAAATACAATTTCCTAGAATCCTGATTATCTTTATGGGAGATATTAAGTAGTTGTTAATTATTAAGTCATTAGAACAGAACATTATATCTTGCTGCATTTTCATATCACTTAGACTCATGACACAAAAATTAACACATGATAAAATTTCACAGTGAATATGCAACTGCTAATTCTTTATCTTCATTGATTTTTTTCTATTGATATATTTTCAACATTTTAAAAATCATTGAGTTTCTTTTTTTTATTTTACCAGAATACTTTTTTGCATTTTAAAGAAAAAAATTTGACCTCTATTGTCACATATTATGAGGTGCCATATGATAATACTTTTGCATTTTTCAACAAAATAGTTTAGATTTCAGATGACTAATTTGCTCAAAAATAATTTTGAGTGAGAAAAATGCTAATCATTTACATAATAGAAAACACATTGAGAAGAGATCTAGTCTACGCATCTGGTTATGCAATTGGGATGCTGGTTTAGGCAACGAGGCCTGTGCTCACTGGCAGCAAGGGCGGGAGGTCTTGAGGGGCTGAGCCCCATCTGCACACAATTATGGCAGAGTGCTGGAGTTACATCCAATCAAGGGAGCCAACTGACCCTAATGCAAAGCAGATGGACCATTTCTTAACATGCAAATTGCAGAATCATGGTACATCATAATTAAAGAGATTTTTGAATTAAGAAATTTGAACTGACATCACCCTGATGCTCATTATGTTCGATTAAGACTGTTGGTAGTTGAATGATATTCAAGATTAAAACCTTACAGTGAGGAGATTTGGATGCTTGGATTTGCTTCTGATGAGTTCAGGGGCTAGAGTATTTATTGTAGCTGTGTTTACTCTAGAGGATTATACATTGAACAGCCAAGGAGAAAGGTAGATTTCGATGTTTCAGAGAATGTGCTCTATAAATTTGAAGAAGTGATCATCTCTCTTTGCCACGCACAAATAAATTAAACAAGTCTTGAAATGTTCTCAGAGGCTATTCTCTCTTGCCTTACAATAACCCTCAGTAGAACAATTGTCTGTCATCTGCCTGCCCACCTTGACTGCAAGAATGATAACAACTTATCATTTTATTGAGATTCACTTTTCACCACTGTACAACTTTTGGCATTTTTCTTGACACAAAAAATAGAGTACTACTTCTATATTAAAGCTGGTTATCAATTAACTTTGAGATTTCCCTCACATGAGGAATTGGTCTTTTTTTGTTTTATGAGGAAGTCTTATGGTCAATGCAATAAAAGTGTTTTATCTTTTAAACATTTTAGTATTGCTTTATTTTTTAGTGTTTACCTTTTTAAAAAGTAAGAGTAAATGTACATGTGAATAATATGACTGTGGTAGAAAAAAGAGATCTGAGTTTTTTGAAAGAATATATGATTAAGAAAGCAGCACAGGATACCTATGATAAATTTTCTCCCTTCTCTAAGTGACTTTCAAGCATTTCTACCGTTGCCACAAAGATTTGCAGAAATGTTCCCATATTTTCTTATTTCTTCAGACATATTCTTGAGTGGAGAATAAGAAAGTGGCTTAGGCTATTCCTTTAGCAAACATTTACCGAATATTTGCAATTGCAGAATACTCTCCTCTAGGACATTGTGAGATGTGGAAATGAAGGAGACAAGGTTTTTGACCTCTGAGGGCTGTGGCTTAGTGGGGAAGACAGATATCATTAAATAAGCTGGCTGTAGCAAAAGACAGTTAAATAAATGTCTTGACAGTTACAGGCTCAACGTTGAAGAGGGGTAAAATAATAAAGCCTTTATTTCCAACTGGGAAGTTTAGGGGAAGTATCACACAGGGGTGGCATTTGGTCTGAGCCTGGAAGTATTCAAGGTGCTACAGTTAGAAACAGAAGGCAAGACATTTCAGAATGAAAAACAAAAACAGAATGAAACAAAAAACAAAGATAGATCATGGTAGTATGAAGTGTACCTGGCAGTATGTTTCTAGGAAAGCTGGGTTTAAAAATAGAATTTGTGACAAAACTGTAAGCTAGATCAGGAGATAAACTGAAAGATAAATCATAGCTGATTATAAAGATGGATATCTTGAAGGATTTTTCCAAAAAGTTTTTTTCCATTATTTGAAGAATGGGTTGCAATTAAAGAGTTTCACAAGCTGAAGGAGACAATCTCATTTCTACTTAAACAAACAAACAAAAACCACCAAACACCAAGAAGAGAGAATTAGAAAAAAAAAAAGATTAAGGTGCAGGGAAATGGATTGGAAGGTTATTTTGAAAGTCCAGACAAAAAGGGGAGTAGAGGAGATACCATGGAGTTAGAATGATTTGGGAATTTCTATAAATGCACTGTGCAATAAAACAATTAGATGCTGATAAGTGCAAGAACAAATCAAAAAGTTTTAAGATCTTTTGGATATCCCAAAGAATGAAGTTGTCATGAAGATAGATAACACAGGAGAAGAGATATATCTGGGAGAGAGGAATTTGAGATGGGATTTGTGTGGAGAAATTCAGCAGGCAGGTGGAAAAGGTGACCTACAGTTTAGCCAGGAATTTGAGCTTGATTCAAGAATCATTTGCTTAGCAGCAATATTCTAGTCATCAAAGTAAATGTAAGGTTAGGCACCAAGAAGAAAGTTTATACTATAAACCTGAAAGAAATTCATGTCCCTCAGAACAGGAGTCAAAGACTGACTTAGTGAACTTCCAGGCCAACCAGGAAGCTGAGGATATTAAAATAAGAATCTCCAAGGAATTTGCAAATCTATGAAAACCCATCTCATTTCACTACCTTTCTACTTGGCTTTTCCTAATTTGAAATGTGGAAAGAAGCAGAAAATTCAGAGAGAAATCTGAGATAACATTATAGCTACAGGCAATTTACTTAATCTTCCTTAAACTCAATTATCTCCTGTTCAAAAATTAACCCTTCACACACTTCACAAAGCCACAGTAAGGGTCAGTTAGGTGAGAGAAATTTATGGTAAATAAAAGGGCACTACATAACCATAACCTATCAGCAAATTAAATTGGAGAATGCAATAGGTATAATAAATGTGCTCCTTAAAAATGTTTTTAATCAATAACTTTTGACCATATAAAAATACGCTTTAAAAAAAATGATCCAACTCATCCATCTATAATTTGATGACTTTAAAATCGTCCTAAGCAAGACTTAACATGAATTAAGATCCAAATGAAATGATCAGCCCTGTCACCAATGTGTATCAAATCTTATTTATATTTTGTGTTTGCACATTTTCTAGTTTCCTCTTTGTATAAATGTAAGAAATAGAAAGAAAGAGCATTCTGAACTAGCCTTTCAAATGAGTTTTCAGATGAATGACTACTGGTGTTCTTGGTGTTGATGGCATTCAACGTCATAGCCTATAGATTCTACCTGATTCAGTTAGTTTTATATCCTATGGTATTATACTCTATCCTGTTATTATTATAAATTTGTTTTAAACTTCTCTTTCTATGATGTTCACTATTTTGAACCGTGATTCTTGAATCTTTCAGTAACCAGAAAACTTGCATGCATGGTTGGGGATGGGGGGGAGAAAGCAGAATGATTAACTACTTTAAAATGAGACACCTGTGAGAAACTTTTGAAGCAATGCACTCACTCATGCCCAAACCAAACATTATAGATTCATCATTTTCCAATTTTAAATCATTAAGTCTACAGGGGAGCTCTAAAGCAATCAATTGGGGGATCCAAAAGACTCAAGTTTTGGAAATCATTCTTGTAAGATTTCACCACATGAGATTTAGCTTTGCAATTTTTCCCTTAAACGAGAAATTCCCTGTGATAGTGAGACTATCAGACCTGGAAACCATATTATGATGACCTTAGACTGTATCAGTAGAAATGAAGATTAATAAAATGAGGAAAATATTTAAAAACTCTTTATAATGATTGCCTAGTGTGAATTCCATGTTAACCTCAAGTGAAGCAACCTGGTAACGTGATTTATTTAGAAGAATGCAAATAAAAGGATTGCTCTAGAGATTACTAGGGAGAAAACCACTTGTTCAGAATCAGGAATCAATTAGAGCCTCTTATAAAACAAAGCAGGAAAAGCTAAAAGAAAATGGGCTAATAGCCAAACTGAGTGCCAGAAGATTTCAGATGTGAAACCCTGTGTGGGGAGGACACTTTTATGAAAGGAACTAGAATATCAGTTGTCATCAGTTGTCTCTTCAATAGATTTTCTTCCTCAAATTTTACTTCAATTTGAGTCACACACAGATTGTTTCAATTGACATGGTTCTGTTTCAGGTGTCCCCCTAAAACCCAGAAAAGAATTACGATTTACAGAACTGCAGTCTGGACAACTGGAGATTAAGTGGTCCTCGAAATTCAATATTTCCATTGAGCCTGTGATCTACGTAGTACAAAGAAGATGGAATTATGGAATCCATCCCAGCGAAGATGATGCCACTCATTGGCAGACTGTGGCCCAGGTAAGTGCTTTGTACAGACTTTGTTATTTCCCCTTGACATAGTGTCTACTACCCACTTATACACATACAATTAACTTGCTATGCCTCAAAATAGCTTGACTACAGAAATAACTCAATCAAATGTGAAATTAATATCATGTATGCCTGAAGAGTGGATGAAAACTTGACTATTTGTTCAACATACACATAAAAAGGATCACACTTTATAATCTGAGTGTTCACATTTATTTTCTCCAAGTACTTTATTTCCCTCAGCTCAACTCAAACCACCAAGAGCAAGGGAAATGAAACGAGATAATTTGATATTTAATAATCTAAATGGCTTCTCTTCTATTTTTCCTGCATTTAAACCTTTATTCCACCCTAGGACTTTAGTAGCATGGGGTAATATTCGTATCACAAAACTACTTAGTGGGAAGTAGCCAACAGCTCATAAATCTTCCCTAAGTGCTTTCTTCTCTGTCTTAGTCAACTTAAAAACTGATACACCACCTGGATGGCAACACTCCCAGAGTTTATCTTAACAGTGCTTCATCATCTTCTGTCTTGTTGATGAGAAGAAAACCAAATATTTTCTTTCTTTTTAAGAGCTGTTAAATCGACTACCAGCTGCCAAAAACAAAACAAAATGAAACAAAACAAAACAAACCAGAAAAAGAAAAGAAAAAACAACTACATGGATGTAAAAAAAGAATAAATTCTCACACGTGAAAGTGCTTCATGCTGTCAACAACTAAAATACCTTCTCCAAACTTTGTCTACAGGAAAAATCTCTCACTTAAGTTGATCAAATCACTTTTTCCTTGGAGAATTCCTTCTTCTTCAGTAAATATAAACTAAATTTCATTATTTATGTATTTGGAAGAAGAATTATATTCTTTTCTCAATAGGAGTATCTCAAAGGGGGTAAATAATAAAATGAGGTAACTTAAAGACCCCCAAATAAATAAGAAATTTGATGCAAAAGAAAGATATTAAATTAGAAAAAAATACCTGATCAAATAAACTTAGAAATTCCACTTTTTACCTATTTTGTAAAAAATAATTTGCTTCAATAAAACATAAAGCCACTTAGACTACATCCTAAACTTCCATTTGATTTACATGCTGTGCTCCCATAAAAAATGGTAGATTCATTTATAAACTTTGCAAATTATTTAAGGATTATGAATGTAACTGACAGTAGGATCATTTCTCTGATCTCTTCTTTCTTGAATTACTATCATTGCTATTACTATTTTTACTAGTTAATACCATTTCCTTTCCCTGTCTGCTAAATGCTGTGGATACCATGCTTTTTGAATTCACAGCTAAAACTCTAAATGATGAAGTCAAGTCGAAAATGTTGTCTCACATTCTGCCAAGGTAGAATGCTGCATTTAAAAGTTCATGTTCTTCCTTTGATCTCAGAAAGATTTAGCTTTTTTTACATATCGATGTACATGTGTAACAGTCCTTTTCAATCAGTTATTATAAACTGAGGTTTGAGAGGGCTGAAGTCCAATCTTATTTTCCCAGTTTCATCTACTAAGCTGAGTTTGGCACTACATATAGATGTGGGCATAGGCTATAGGCATTTAATCCTTGGAATTGAAGACCAAAGTTTTCAAATCTACCGGTGGAAACAAAACATAAAACATTGTTGAAAGCAGGTATATAGCAGGAAGACTGTTAAAGTTGATATCTTGAGATCGTAGCAGCAGAGAACAAAACCTACTAACCTCATCCAGAGTCTAGTTTTTTTTTTGGAGGGGGGGGGCATTTTATTGGACAAAGATATGCTAACATATCTCATCCTTTAGGATCAAGACTGGTTCCTCATAGATGTTATGTGATATACTCATTTTTAAAAAGTGATTTGGGTTACAAATTACTTACAGAAATTGTTAGTGTTCTTTTAGTGCATGGGTTGTTATTCCTACTTACAGAATTATATTTAGAATGCAAATTAAAGAGAAATTTATTTTCTATAATCTAAAGATGAGTTCTCCTTCTTGTCTATGATGCAATGATGACTATGAATATACCTTATTGATTAAATTCCTCAAGTGCTGTATTTAGTCACCAGATTTAAAAAAAAAAAATAGCTCAAACATTTGTCATACATATTGACTTTTAAAAATGTTTAATTTTTTAGTGTGAAATATCAGAGGTTTTTTGATCCCTGGCAACTCATTTCATAACTGGGCATGATATACCCCTTGTATCCAGAGGGAAGACAAACTGAGTTGCGTCGGCTGATGAGTCAGTGTATTTTTAAAAAACAGATCCAACCAACATCAGATTAAAAATGATATATTCTCTGTGCTCTATGACATTTCCCTTCAGACCACGGACGAGCGGGTTCAACTGACTGACATAAGACCCAGCAGGTGGTACCAGTTTCGAGTGGCTGCTGTCAATGTACATGGGACTCGAGGCTTCACTGCCCCCAGCAAACACTTCCGTTCTTCCAAAGGTCAGTTTTCCTTTTCTGCTCAAACTCTGGACACTCACCTTGCTCTCGGGCAAACAAGGAATGCAGAGTCGTTGTCTGCATGATTATATTTATGGTTAGCTGACAGGTGGCTTTGCTGTTCCTAGAGAATGGGACCAGATGTGTTTGAAGTGACCGTGTAAATTTACCGTTGAGAACATCACTGGGCTTTTGCCTTCAAGATATCACAGAAGATATATAAGCAGGTTTTTAAAACTTTGAAGTGGAGGGTTTTCTATTATCATCTTCTGTTGAGTTTTTACTTAGAGATATCCTGCAACAAGCATCATTCAATTAATTTTTAAATAGAAAGATGGAATTTTAGCTATTGCAGATGATATACCCTTTCTGACAATGATTGTTTAATTGAGTATGCATTTAATTCTTACCTTTGTTTCATAACATATAGAATTTAGGCCCTTCCTGAGTCATTTGATCATTGCTATGATTTCATTCAGTTCCTATTGCATTGCTATTTTAAAATCGCTGTGGAATCAGGTGCGTACTATATTACATTTGTGGTTAGTTTAATCTGTGATAGTTAAAGGATGCAATTTGACCAGATATTAATAATATCTTCAGATTTATTTCTCCAATTGTGTCCATATGGCTGTGTGCCTTCCAAATTAATCATACATCTGCTTGACTAATCATCAGGCTCTGATTTCATAAATACTAATCAGGAGTTATCTTCTTATGTGGAAGCTAATTTAAATTTATTGTAAACAAAATGCATTGTGATTTTAATAAGCAATATGAGAAGGTTTAAACTGGCTGTTATAACTTGCAAATTCTGTTTCATGTTTGGGGCAATGTATATATCTCAGATAGTCTATCCGTTTCTCACTATGGAATATTGCTACCACTTTCTCTGCATAATCATAGGTGTCAAATGGAAATTTTGCAATCAAAATAAATTAATATTTGGATTTTATTATAGCATATGTTATAGATCTTTACATTCTTTTAAAAATAATTCTGTTTTTAAAAGAGGTAGATGCTTTTTTTTTTTCAGGGAGGCAAATACTCCAATTAAGCAAGCTGTAAAGTAAAAACATAAATAAAGGCAACAAACCTTGTGTTAAGACTCTGTCTCCAGCTGGTCTGACAATTTAGACAGGCAAGAGAAATAAATAATTAATAGTGGGTTAGGAGGTGGTGATCAATAAAAGGCTTGAGAACTCTTCACCTTGAGTTTCATGGTTCAAATGCGATCCAGGCACAATGTGGTCAAAATGTATTACCATCTGTTCAGTTGCCTGTAAGATCTAGGCTAGTGCCCTCAGAGGAAGACTGCAAATTCAGACATCAGACAGAAATGGTTTCCAGACTCTAGACAGATATTGAATTAAGTACCTGTAAGAGTTGTAGCACCTCCTGCCCACTTGATGTGGGGAAGGAAGCTTTGCTCCCATGATTCCTTTTAGAGCTCTGCTATCACAAGATTGTTAGGATCTGGGGGAAGAGGTCCTTGGACAGTCCCCAGGGCTGGTCATGAGGGAGCTAATGTAAATTAGGGAGACTACACTGTCCTGACACTTCCTAGTATATCATTGAGAAGTTGAGCTAACCTGCTCTGAAATAGGAAGGTATGAAAGAGTCAGAGTGGGACTCTAATGTCTGCTTTTCACTTCTCATTTAATTGAGCGTCTCCATGATTCCTGCTACAGAGCATATCTAAAACATTTTGAATTATGGTTTAAAATAAATATATTAATAGTTTCATAAATCAGATGTGATGAGATCATGAAAGGAATCCCCACATTACTAAATATCCCTGCTCTTCTTTCTCTATGGGACAGAGGCATGCCTTTTGAGGTTTACTCTTTTGCTTCCCCTTTCCCACCACTAGACAAGTTTTACATTACTGTCTACTTTCTGTACTGAGGAAACCACTGATGTCTAACCACCAGAGAGCCCAAATTTGTGAATAACCAATTTGGAGTCAGGGCCATATAAATTGAAAAGTACTAGTGGGCTCCATGTTTCATTTGCTTTTCTTTTTCAGTAACTTGATGTTCTACCTTTTCTTAATATTATTGATGTTTATTGAATGAGCAAAAAATGCATACATTTCCTGCTTAATAGCAGAAATATATATTGCTAAGTAGCTATTACCTGTTACAAGATGGTATTCACAAGTTTGCTGAATTTTGGAAATAAACGATTTGTTTCTGGCTGTGGAGACCATGTCTGTATGTCAATACAGGTAGTAAAAGAAGGGAGAGTTCAAGTTTTGTAGATCATGTGAGGCAGAATCCAAATAAATTGTTTGTATCTTGTCAAAAACATTTGTTTGGTCATCAGAAATTAGTCGATATCAATTTGACATTACAAAATAACACACTTTTAAAGGGTCTTATGAAGAAAAGTGTAAAAATCTAACTTAAAAATTACCATTAACCTAGCATATTATCTGTTAGTTATTATTTTCACTCCCCTTCAAATGTCGAGTTTTTATCCATATTTTTCTTCGTATTTTCCCATGTGTGTAAGATATATCACAAAGGAAAAGGAAACAGACAGCATTGTTTTCACGCCATATAAGTATCACACTGGATGTTATTCCATGCATACATTACAGAGTGTCAGTAAAACTTGAACAGACATCACCGGTGGTAGTAAAGATTCCTGTTGCTCCGTTGGGACCCATGAGTTTTTACTTTGTTCTACAGCTGCTCGAGATGTGCCATTTCCAATTGGCAAGGGTTGTGTATAGATATGTCTTGAAACTATTTAATAGTTGGAAATTTGCCCGCAGTGGTAGCTTCAGCAGCTTTGCAAAGACTTATGAGTTCTTATGTATCTACATATTGCAGGGTGACTTTTTTTTAAAAGGGGGAAGGAAAACTACTCCAACCGCTAAGTCTGGAAAGGAAAAAAAAAGGTTTAAATATTAGAACAAACATCTTATTTAGTTGAAAAATTCTTGATATAGTTAAATCATTGCTTTTAAAATACAACTGTACTCGATCAGTTATACACCTTAAAAGGTATTTTGAGGATGCATTTCAGTGGGAGTTTGATCTATAGACACTAAGGTGGAAAACAAATAAGTACAATCAGCATTCATTTTCTTGAAATATGTGTTGTTCCTCTGTGTGTGCGTGCCTGTGTGTGCTTGTGTGTTTTTTGATTACTTATAATGGTTGCTCTCTTTTTTTTGCCCTTGCATGCTACTTAGTTATTCTTTTAACATACAAGGATTTCTGTATTTAACAAATAGCATTGACTGAAAAACTAGAGGAGCCTGCCCCACAAAAAGTGATGGAATTTCTCCCGGGACAGGCAGAAGTGGTCCTTTCCCATGAGATTTCATGTCAGTGCAATAATAGACCTGCATTTCTCCAAGGGTGATAAGTGATTTTGTCACTTTACCCAACGTAAGCTCAAAGTAATTCCATTGTGCCAAATCTCCGTGCCTATTACTTTGTTGTTTGTGGCATGAAACATAAGAGGTTAAGTGATGAGACCTGAAATCTGTCTTTCTGAAAGCCAAATGTTCCATCTTCCTTTGCTGAAAGCACTATATGATTGTCAATAAAAGGAACTACTTTTCTCTAAGACTGAAGTTGGGTATACATACTAAACATTCAACAAAAACTTGTGTTGGAAACTACACAAACTGTGTTATATATAAGTAGAAGAAGCGAATGCAGCCTTCTTATGTCAATTATCTCTGAAAGTGTCCTTGCTCTCTGCGGTGTGTCTCTGCAGATACTTGTGAAGATACTAAGGAGGGAGTGGATCTAGCAGAAGGAAAGTGAGAAAGGGAAATGCTCTGATTTGAGACACAGAGGGAGGGGTTAGGAAAACATTGGTTTTGTGATGTGAATCTCACCTTCTTACCCTGTGCTCTTGAATGAGTGAATTAAACTCTTGCATCTTCAATTTCCCTATCTCTAAAATGGGAACAATATTGCCAACAAAATTTTAAGCAACAAAATTTTAAGCAACAAAATTTTAAGCAACAAAATTTTAAGCAACAAAATTTTAAGCAACAAAACTTTAAGCAACATAATTGTAAGCAACAAAATACAAACATGTGTTTATAAAATTAGAAATAAACAGTGCATGTGTCAAGTTTCCTAAAACTAATTGTATCACAGCTTTGAAAATTCTGCCCAGATTGGGTGGGCAATCTATGATCTGTGCTCCAAATTTTCCTGCTGCCTGTTTTTTTTTTTTTTGCAAAGAAAGTTTTATTGGAACACAGACACACTCACTTGTTTATATATGTCTATGTATATTGTTTGAACTATGAGGACAGAGTTGAGTAGTGGTAACAAAGACTGTATAATCCACGAAACCTAAAATCTTTACTATCTGGCCCTTTAAATAAAAAGTCTATCAATGCCTGCTCTAGACTACTGTAATAGTCACTTTCCCCATTACAAGGCTTTGCATTTTTACCTTCTGTAGGTATATCGCTCTCATTATGATCATAGAATATGACATATTGAGGGTGGCACATATAGGTGTATATTGTTAGACCCTCAATTCTCCATTTCCCTTATCATTTTTATTCTCATGCTTCATTTTGCCACAAGTTATGTGAATAACATTGAACATGTCACTTTATGTCTCTGACCCCTAAGACCATCACAGGAAAAAAAGGAAGTGAAAAAAATTATAGAATCTCTTAAGGTTTTATCATAATATATAGTCTCCCTCTCTGTCTGTGTTCATATTTTGTGTGTGCACAATATATTTATTTCATAAGCATACTTTCTGTAATGTTTGGAGATACCGAAAGAGGCACAGGACAAGGGGCTGGTATAAACCAAGCATTTATTGGGGGAGAAACTCCTAGGCGAGGTCCCGTGTTCCTGGAAGATGGGCCAGGGGAGTCGCGCCCAAGGAAGGGCGGCTCGGGTTTTTAAGGGTGCTGTATCTGGGTAGGTGTTGGGGCGGCAGTGAAGCGGGGAGACAAAGCGTCACATCTGGCGTGGGCTGGAAGGTCCCTGTCTGGCCCTTCTTGG